CCCCCCCCTCCGGGAGTTTACGTTCATGGTAAAAAAAAAAAGGGGGGAATAGGGCAATTGTGGAATGCTCTTCCTCTGGAAACGCCATCTTTTGATATTCCCTGCACAAATAAAACGCAAATTTAAGACTTATCTTTTGACGTTGGCTTTCTTAGTGAATTAGTGTCATTTGCAAATATATTTTATTTAAATTGATTTGTTTTATCTTAAGATATTATTGAATTGTAATTTCTTTCAACCTTCGGATGTCATCTGTTACCTTAAAAGGTTTTTATTGAGTTTTAAACGTATTGTAATTTAATTTTGCTATAATCTGATGGTAATTTCTTTTTTTATTTTTAATTTCAAATTATTATTATTATTATTATTATTATTATTATTTATACTGTTTATAAAAAAGTTTGAGCACTCTCTCTCCAGAACAAGTTTGAGTGCCTCGACTTTCAAATTAGAGCCGCGCCATATACGCATTTTTTTTTTTAGCTAAACGAGCAAGTGAAAACTCCGCTATTGACTTTAAATTGATTTTGGCATTATCATTGATTACTAGAGACAGAATGGGGTCCATGGAGCGCATGCTCAGTCACTTGCAGCCGCGGGATAAGACACCGCAAGAAACAATGTAAATATTCAGGCGACGTTCCGCCAGACGATAGGCAAGAAACAGAAAAAGAGAGCTGTGACGCTGGATATGTTTGCCACCAAGGTATCTGGAATTGAGCAAAGTCTGAGCTTCTACATACGCCGCCTTTCTTACCAAAGAGGAAGACTAAAAAAAAACACTGCAATTTCGTAGGTGTAATTCAGAAGCATTGCCTCCATAGACTCTTATGAAAGTTGTCGTGACCTTCAAACTATTTTCTACCACCTCTAGTAATTAATGATACTTTAAGGTCTTGTAGGAACTTGGGAATGCATGAACAGTAAATAAATATGTTCTGTCAGGGTTCCTATTTGTTTAAGGCTGTCCACAAGTCGCTCGAAACTTTTCCAAACAATGTTCAAGAAAACCCAGGAAGTGTTTTTTTGTTTTTGTTTTTTTGTTTGTTTGTTTGTTTGTTTGTTTGTTTATTTTCGAAGTTGCTCTCTGAGGATAAATGGCATTTTTATTGTTATTTTATTGCTTTAGCATGATTTTTTATTATCTCTGCAGACGTCACTACCCGCTCTCTTCTTGCCCAGGGTCACGCTAACGCCACTTTGCGTGATCACGTATTCAAGACTGTGACTGTGTATGATGTGACAGAATGCGGGCTGCTGTGCTCACGCGACCTGCGTTGTAAGTCTTTTAGTATGTGCAATGATAAGGACAGAATTCTCTGTGAGTTAAACAGCGCCGCGAATGAGGACTCAGGGAAGGATTTTCATTGGACGATATCATGTTCATATTACAGCACCATCATTCGAAACGTAACTTAATTATTAGCCCACACTAGAATCAACCTACTGTTGAGTAATGGATCTGTTTGTTGCTGGTGTTTTGCGGATTTCCTATGTTAAGCAATAAATTGTACAACAGTATGATTAGATATATCTTAATTAATATCACGATTGTCCCTTAACGACTGTATTTTTAAAGTTATACGCCGTCTAATTTTGCGCAGGAAGCACTTCAGCAGGTAAATATAACAATAGACACTGCCGCCTTTTTAGCGTGGTCTCAAGAACTATGCTGATCGACTGACGAGCTGAAGAAAACAGATTCAATAGGCTCGGTTACCAGCCGCTGTTTGGGAAAGGAGCCCGCGCTCCTCCGCGGACTCGAGAGAGCAGCGGATATCGAGCCAAAAGGTTCACGCGCATTTTGGTTAAGAACTAATAGAATTCAACGAAATTCGATGAACCGTAAGTGGAATTATTTCCTAATGTCACGAGCACACTGGCATATGATTACCCATTAATCAATGCAAAAAAAGTAAAATTTTACGCATTCTTGCCAGGCGACTCGATCGATAACTGTAAACTAATCTCACCTTTCGAACATCCTGTTCGGCTTTGAAGGATTGCTTTGTCTTTTCCATTTTCAAGACTTTACTTGGACACAAATTGGACCAAAATAGATAGTTCGGTTTAGTTGTTCACTTTCTCACTTGTTTCACCCGATTCATGTTGCTTTCAGACGTCATACTGCATATTTGGAAGTGAGGGGCTTGGGGACAAATGTGTAACTCAATTCCATTCTTCTGTAAGAAAAACAGATGGCGACTGGTACATTTATCCTCATGAAAACCTTCACAACGATCATAAAAACGTATAGAAAAGTTCTAACATCGTCAAATTGAGGGTAAACGATGTAGTTAGTATAGGGACAGGTATTACGAAATATGGTTTTCCTTGTGCCTAATGGGCTGTGTTAGGTTCGCATGGTATTATGGTAAGATGTACAGCCGTCATATTTTTCTCCTACGGAGGATTCCACGCCCAAATAAGGGAGTATTTTGTAATTCGTTTAAATACATATACAAGCTGGTGAGCATGAGTTCTGGTGATATTTAAAAAGGTTATAGCGGGGAAACAAGAAAACCGTAGTGTCGAGCAGTGACTTTTTATTGGTTCTGGCTACTGATATTTCATGCTGGTTCCCGATTGATTCTTCACCGAGAGCAAACACTCACGGAAGTACTCCGTTTAATTTGGCTTTTAATAGTTGTAAAGCCCGACAGATTGCTGTCGACATTTGCTCTAATAACGTGCCTTTCTCATCAAGAGAGCTTATTTCGGGCTGGTACGAGTGTCAGTCACTGATGGTGTGTCAGGTGGATACTCATCGTGTTTGTACTAAAAGTTTTATTTTTAATTTGTAAGTAAAGTACAGTTGACACCTCTCCTTAGCAAACTCTCAGTTGTAGCCTGGCTTCAAACTTCTCATAAATAAATATCTGACACACATTTCCACCCCAGGAGGCTCCAGTTTTGAGATGTTCCGACTGTAAAATGTAAAGGAGAGACTTTGATTCGTTGAATTCTTCCTGTCTGATCCATAAGGACATGTTTTATGTATAATTTAACATTAAATTTATTTTTGACTACTTGGTTATAAATCGTGTCCTATCCGTTCGCATTGTTTTCCATATTATTTCATTAAAATTATGTACACCAAGTAAATAAGTCCTTGGATGGTTCTCTTCTGAACGAATGTTATCTTTTTTGAATCACAGTACAAGTTGTTGTATACGTCACTAGAAAAGCTTGGTGAATTTCATTATTGTCAACTTTGTTCTTCCATGGTCATTTCTTCTCTCTCGCCGTTGTTTTTACTTGAGCCACCGTTTGCCCAAGGCTGTTGTTCAGCGGACATCAGCAAGCAAAAGAGAAGCATTCCCACCACATAGATAACAAATGTTACCCAGAATACCGTGCGCCACTCTTCAGCTTCCTAAAAAGAAGGAAATCAGTTATTAGCCGCCTTTGTATTGCACAGACTAAACTAGAACTGCAATGAAGAAATTGAAAGAGAAGATAATAGAGGCTAGAAAGCATAGATTACCGGTCAGTGTACTGAACGCAGACTGCGGACTGCAGACCTGGGAAAAATGCAGACTGAAGACGAGGGGTAAAATTCAGCCTTCAGACTATAAAGTCTGCGGTTCGCGTTTTACGCTGACCGCATAGATGATTCATCGAAGGAAATTTAACTAAAAATCAAAGTGTACAATTCATCGGTCTAGCTGGAATTCATCGGAAGTCTCCATCAACCTTAGTAATCTCAAATTTCATTCTATGAAACTATGAAAAACATCCAAAATTGTTGTTCTACAGATAGGCCTTGTGTTCAGGTTTGGTGCATGACTTTCTTTGGCTTAAACTGGCAACAAAATCAAAAAGTATATCACGCTGCGATTGGTGGATACTATGGGCCCTGTGAGCCCGCAGCTTCGGGCCAGCAGCTTCTCTTTCCCTGGATTGAGAGATGTTCATAAAAACTTAACTTTATCCGATTAACCTCGGATTTTTGGTTTTTGTAATGTAGGATAATGATCGATTTATTGCTGCGCGCCCTCCGAGTTTGGTCAGAAGCAGGAGCCAGAAGACATTGCAAACAAACACTTAAAGCATCCACATGGAATTGGGCATGCATGCTGACCGCAAGTGCATTTGCTTTAAACCCACCTTATTAACAGTGATATATCCAACCATCATAGGACTAAGAAATCCAGTTATTGTTCCCACAGTGTTAGTCAGACCCATAATTACGCACGCGTATCGCGGCGCAATATCCAACATATTAACATTATACCCGGAATGCATCAGTCCTGAGGCTGCTACTCCGATACACATGCAAGTGACCGCTACTGTTGCAGTCCTGGCGTAACCTGCAGCGAGGATAAATGTCCCAGCTCCCATTGCGCCTGGTGAAGGGAACAGCAATTAAAGAGTACAGTAAGTGGGCAAGTAATCTCACCAGGTATCTTGCAAGGTAAGAATATTTTATAGCGTCGCGCACAATTGCTTAAAATAGATTACATCAGCAGAGACCCCCACATGACTCAGACAGGAATTACAGCATGGTAGAGGGTCTTGTATGCGCGTGTTGTATTCTAAACCAGGAAATTAGGCGAAAAAAAAAACGGCGGCCTGGTTTTTTGATGAGCTTAAATAATATTACAAAGTTAACACTGCTGCTGTATCTTTGAAACAGATTCAAGATATCCATAAAAAACCTAAATGCCACAAATCGCACGAGGACTTACAAAGCCGCAATGACAGTCTGACAGATCCCCAAACCCTCAGGAATATTGGAAGTCAAGAAATTTTAGCACGCCTTGAAAATCAATTTGTTTTGACATTTGCAATAAAAATTTCAATGAATAATTACAATGAAAACAGGATGTACGTATTTGCAGTTTAGATTACACAACCTTATTGCTATCATTATCTTCTAGTGAAAAATCTTAAACCAAGACACTTTCATGTTGCCTTTCTTTAATATTTCTAAGTCTTTCTACTAAGAAAGAATAGCGGGGTTCTGTTCTGTTTGCCCGAAAGCATATTTTTAATCATTATGTTTTTATTAAAAATATAAAATGAAATATCAGCGAAAAAAAAAGTTATTTACCGACAGCGAAGTATAATCTTCTAACTGATTTGGTACTTAGTCCTCTTCTTCGTAAAAGATCGGCCGTGATGCCACCAAAGGGACCCGAGAGAGACTTCACTAAGAAAGGTGTGGCCGCAAGAAATCCCATCTGTGGAGTCATAATTCACAGATCACTAAGCGTATGTTCTACAGACAAATTTTAAGGGCGCCTTTGGTTAAAAACGTTCAGAGTAAACGTTAATACTCCAACTAATACTACCAACCCGATCTTAAGTTCAAGTTTATGTACAACCCAAAGGAAGATAAATTATCTGACTGAGAATAAACCTGTGTGTCTGCCCTAATTAAGGACAGAAACAAAAGTGAAAAATAGTTTTTGAAAACATGAGGCACTTTGCCTCCAATGCATCTGAGTACATGTTTCTTGCGCTTATTTTCTAACGTCTCCTAAGCAAGATATTTTAATGCATCATCACTGCTATGATGTCTTACAATCAATGGCGCAGCCCTCCTATGCAACCTTTCTATGACATTAGACTTAACTTGCCCGCAGGAGTTCCACACTCTGTCACAGTAGTCAAGTACCGGTGAAATAAATGACTTTTGAATCATATTTGAAGTATTTATGGTGACATTGCACTTTATCCTACTCAACCTACTCAACCTCACCCAAAACATACTTCGCATGGGCATTCCAAGAAAGGGCTTCGTCCAAGACAACACCTAGATACTTAAATTCTGACACGCGCCCAATCAAATTTCGCGAGGCATAAATGGAGAAGTTTGTTAAAGAGCTCAGTCTACTTGCTGAGCATCGTTGACCATGTTGACGTAAAATCAATTTCTTAACTCTATGGAAACCAGCAAGCAGCTGATAATACGCTTAAAGAATTTAACTTTTTTACAGTAGTAATATTTGTATATTAATAGCAAGACATTATGCTCACTGTCTGTATATCGAAGTGCAGAATATCAAGAAGAAACATTGGAAGACAGATGAGAATGGTGTAAAGGCCCCAGTCCGAGGCCAGGTTACCAAACATTATTCCCCACACGGGTACGGACGTTAGGATTGACTTCCATGGTATTGGTGCATCTTCCTAAAATGGCAATGGAAAGGTTCACGATTGACTAATTGAAGTAATGCTTCCTGTAGAAAATAATATATTTGTCTCAGTGGAACTGGTTCCTTAGTAAAGCCTGGCCACGAAAATGAATTCCCTGCCCGAGTCCATGCGAAACTTTTAAAACCAATTTTAGATCGTACAAAACAATCGAGCAAGTTGGTCTNTTTTTTTTTAGCTAAACGAGCAAGTGAAAACTCCGCTATTGACTTTAAATTGATTTTGGCATTATCATTGATTACTAGAGACAGAATGGGGTCCATGGAGCGCATGCTCAGTCACTTGCAGCCGCGGGATAAGACACCGCAAGAAACAATGTAAATATTCAGGCGACGTTCCGCCAGACGATAGGCAAGAAACAGAAAAAGAGAGCTGTGACGCTGGATATGTTTGCCACCAAGGTATCTGGAATTGAGCAAAGTCTGAGCTTCTACATACGCCGCCTTTCTTACCAAAGAGGAAGACTAAAAAAAAACACTGCAATTTCGTAGGTGTAATTCAGAAGCATTGCCTCCATAGACTCTTATGAAAGTTGTCGTGACCTTCAAACTATTTTCTACCACCTCTAGTAATTAATGATACTTTAAGGTCTTGTAGGAACTTGGGAATGCATGAACAGTAAATAAATATGTTCTGTCAGGGTTCCTATTTGTTTAAGGCTGTCCACAAGTCGCTCGAAACTTTTCCAAACAATGTTCAAGAAAACCCAGGAAGTGTTTTTTTGTTTTTGTTTTTTTGTTTGTTTGTTTGTTTGTTTGTTTATTTTCGAAGTTGCTCTCTGAGGATAAATGGCATTTTTATTGTTATTTTATTGCTTTAGCATGATTTTTTATTATCTCTGCAGACGTCACTACCCGCTCTCTTCTTGCCCAGGGTCACGCTAACGCCACTTTGCGTGATCACGTATTCAAGACTGTGACTGTGTATGATGTGACAGAATGCGGGCTGCTGTGCTCACGCGACCTGCGTTGTAAGTCTTTTAGTATGTGCAATGATAAGGACAGAATTCTCTGTGAGTTAAACAGCGCCGCGAATGAGGACTCAGGGAAGGATTTTCATTGGACGATATCATGTTCATATTACAGCACCATCATTCGAAACGTAACTTAATTATTAGCCCACACTAGAATCAACCTACTGTTGAGTAATGGATCTGTTTGTTGCTGGTGTTTTGCGGATTTCCTATGTTAAGCAATAAATTGTACAACAGTATGATTAGATATATCTTAATTAATATCACGATTGTCCCTTAACGACTGTATTTTTAAAGTTATACGCCGTCTAATTTTGCGCAGGAAGCACTTCAGCAGGTAAATATAACAATAGACACTGCCGCCTTTTTAGCGTGGTCTCAAGAACTATGCTGATCGACTGACGAGCTGAAGAAAACAGATTCAATAGGCTCGGTTACCAGCCGCTGTTTGGGAAAGGAGCCCGCGCTCCTCCGCGGACTCGAGAGAGCAGCGGATATCGAGCCAAAAGGTTCACGCGCATTTTGGTTAAGAACTAATAGAATTCAACGAAATTCGATGAACCGTAAGTGGAATTATTTCCTAATGTCACGAGCACACTGGCATATGATTACCCATTAATCAATGCAAAAAAAGTAAAATTTTACGCATTCTTGCCAGGCGACTCGATCGATAACTGTAAACTAATCTCACCTTTCGAACATCCTGTTCGGCTTTGAAGGATTGCTTTGTCTTTTCCATTTTCAAGACTTTACTTGGACACAAATTGGACCAAAATAGATAGTTCGGTTTAGTTGTTCACTTTCTCACTTGTTTCACCCGATTCATGTTGCTTTCAGACGTCATACTGCATATTTGGAAGTGAGGGGCTTGGGGACAAATGTGTAACTCAATTCCATTCTTCTGTAAGAAAAACAGATGGCGACTGGTACATTTATCCTCATGAAAACCTTCACAACGATCATAAAAACGTATAGAAAAGTTCTAACATCGTCAAATTGAGGGTAAACGATGTAGTTAGTATAGGGACAGGTATTACGAAATATGGTTTTCCTTGTGCCTAATGGGCTGTGTTAGGTTCGCATGGTATTATGGTAAGATGTACAGCCGTCATATTTTTCTCCTACGGAGGATTCCACGCCCAAATAAGGGAGTATTTTGTAATTCGTTTAAATACATATACAAGCTGGTGAGCATGAGTTCTGGTGATATTTAAAAAGGTTATAGCGGGGAAACAAGAAAACCGTAGTGTCGAGCAGTGACTTTTTATTGGTTCTGGCTACTGATATTTCATGCTGGTTCCCGATTGATTCTTCACCGAGAGCAAACACTCACGGAAGTACTCCGTTTAATTTGGCTTTTAATAGTTGTAAAGCCCGACAGATTGCTGTCGACATTTGCTCTAATAACGTGCCTTTCTCATCAAGAGAGCTTATTTCGGGCTGGTACGAGTGTCAGTCACTGATGGTGTGTCAGGTGGATACTCATCGTGTTTGTACTAAAAGTTTTATTTTTAATTTGTAAGTAAAGTACAGTTGACACCTCTCCTTAGCAAACTCTCAGTTGTAGCCTGGCTTCAAACTTCTCATAAATAAATATCTGACACACATTTCCACCCCAGGAGGCTCCAGTTTTGAGATGTTCCGACTGTAAAATGTAAAGGAGAGACTTTGATTCGTTGAATTCTTCCTGTCTGATCCATAAGGACATGTTTTATGTATAATTTAACATTAAATTTATTTTTGACTACTTGGTTATAAATCGTGTCCTATCCGTTCGCATTGTTTTCCATATTATTTCATTAAAATTATGTACACCAAGTAAATAAGTCCTTGGATGGTTCTCTTCTGAACGAATGTTATCTTTTTTGAATCACAGTACAAGTTGTTGTATACGTCACTAGAAAAGCTTGGTGAATTTCATTATTGTCAACTTTGTTCTTCCATGGTCATTTCTTCTCTCTCGCCGTTGTTTTTACTTGAGCCACCGTTTGCCCAAGGCTGTTGTTCAGCGGACATCAGCAAGCAAAAGAGAAGCATTCCCACCACATAGATAACAAATGTTACCCAGAATACCGTGCGCCACTCTTCAGCTTCCTAAAAAGAAGGAAATCAGTTATTAGCCGCCTTTGTATTGCACAGACTAAACTAGAACTGCAATGAAGAAATTGAAAGAGAAGATAATAGAGGCTAGAAAGCATAGATTACCGGTCAGTGTACTGAACGCAGACTGCGGACTGCAGACCTGGGAAAAATGCAGACTGAAGACGAGGGGTAAAATTCAGCCTTCAGACTATAAAGTCTGCGGTTCGCGTTTTACGCTGACCGCATAGATGATTCATCGAAGGAAATTTAACTAAAAATCAAAGTGTACAATTCATCGGTCTAGCTGGAATTCATCGGAAGTCTCCATCAACCTTAGTAATCTCAAATTTCATTCTATGAAACTATGAAAAACATCCAAAATTGTTGTTCTACAGATAGGCCTTGTGTTCAGGTTTGGTGCATGACTTTCTTTGGCTTAAACTGGCAACAAAATCAAAAAGTATATCACGCTGCGATTGGTGGATACTATGGGCCCTGTGAGCCCGCAGCTTCGGGCCAGCAGCTTCTCTTTCCCTGGATTGAGAGATGTTCATAAAAACTTAACTTTATCCGATTAACCTCGGATTTTTGGTTTTTGTAATGTAGGATAATGATCGATTTATTGCTGCGCGCCCTCCGAGTTTGGTCAGAAGCAGGAGCCAGAAGACATTGCAAACAAACACTTAAAGCATCCACATGGAATTGGGCATGCATGCTGACCGCAAGTGCATTTGCTTTAAACCCACCTTATTAACAGTGATATATCCAACCATCATAGGACTAAGAAATCCAGTTATTGTTCCCACAGTGTTAGTCAGACCCATAATTACGCACGCGTATCGCGGCGCAATATCCAACATATTAACATTATACCCGGAATGCATCAGTCCTGAGGCTGCTACTCCGATACACATGCAAGTGACCGCTACTGTTGCAGTCCTGGCGTAACCTGCAGCGAGGATAAATGTCCCAGCTCCCATTGCGCCTGGTGAAGGGAACAGCAATTAAAGAGTACAGTAAGTGGGCAAGTAATCTCACCAGGTATCTTGCAAGGTAAGAATATTTTATAGCGTCGCGCACAATTGCTTAAAATAGATTACATCAGCAGAGACCCCCACATGACTCAGACAGGAATTACAGCATGGTAGAGGGTCTTGTATGCGCGTGTTGTATTCTAAACCAGGAAATTAGGCGAAAAAAAAAACGGCGGCCTGGTTTTTTGATGAGCTTAAATAATATTACAAAGTTAACACTGCTGCTGTATCTTTGAAACAGATTCAAGATATCCATAAAAAACCTAAATGCCACAAATCGCACGAGGACTTACAAAGCCGCAATGACAGTCTGACAGATCCCCAAACCCTCAGGAATATTGGAAGTCAAGAAATTTTAGCACGCCTTGAAAATCAATTTGTTTTGACATTTGCAATAAAAATTTCAATGAATAATTACAATGAAAACAGGATGTACGTATTTGCAGTTTAGATTACACAACCTTATTGCTATCATTATCTTCTAGTGAAAAATCTTAAACCAAGACACTTTCATGTTGCCTTTCTTTAATATTTCTAAGTCTTTCTACTAAGAAAGAATAGCGGGGTTCTGTTCTGTTTGCCCGAAAGCATATTTTTAATCATTATGTTTTTATTAAAAATATAAAATGAAATATCAGCGAAAAAAAAAGTTATTTACCGACAGCGAAGTATAATCTTCTAACTGATTTGGTACTTAGTCCTCTTCTTCGTAAAAGATCGGCCGTGATGCCACCAAAGGGACCCGAGAGAGACTTCACTAAGAAAGGTGTGGCCGCAAGAAATCCCATCTGTGGAGTCATAATTCACAGATCACTAAGCGTATGTTCTACAGACAAATTTTAAGGGCGCCTTTGGTTAAAAACGTTCAGAGTAAACGTTAATACTCCAACTAATACTACCAACCCGATCTTAAGTTCAAGTTTATGTACAACCCAAAGGAAGATAAATTATCTGACTGAGAATAAACCTGTGTGTCTGCCCTAATTAAGGACAGAAACAAAAGTGAAAAATAGTTTTTGAAAACATGAGGCACTTTGCCTCCAATGCATCTGAGTACATGTTTCTTGCGCTTATTTTCTAACGTCTCCTAAGCAAGATATTTTAATGCATCATCACTGCTATGATGTCTTACAATCAATGGCGCAGCCCTCCTATGCAACCTTTCTATGACATTAGACTTAACTTGCCCGCAGGAGTTCCACACTCTGTCACAGTAGTCAAGTACCGGTGAAATAAATGACTTTTGAATCATATTTGAAGTATTTATGGTGACATTGCACTTTATCCTACTCAACCTACTCAACCTCACCCAAAACATACTTCGCATGGGCATTCCAAGAAAGGGCTTCGTCCAAGACAACACCTAGATACTTAAATTCTGACACGCGCCCAATCAAATTTCGCGAGGCATAAATGGAGAAGTTTGTTAAAGAGCTCAGTCTACTTGCTGAGCATCGTTGACCATGTTGACGTAAAATCAATTTCTTAACTCTATGGAAACCAGCAAGCAGCTGATAATACGCTTAAAGAATTTAACTTTTTTACAGTAGTAATATTTGTATATTAATAGCAAGACATTATGCTCACTGTCTGTATATCGAAGTGCAGAATATCAAGAAGAAACATTGGAAGACAGATGAGAATGGTGTAAAGGCCCCAGTCCGAGGCCAGGTTACCAAACATTATTCCCCACACGGGTACGGACGTTAGGATTGACTTCCATGGTATTGGTGCATCTTCCTAAAATGGCAATGGAAAGGTTCACGATTGACTAATTGAAGTAATGCTTCCTGTAGAAAATAATATATTTGTCTCAGTGGAACTGGTTCCTTAGTAAAGCCTGGCCACGAAAATGAATTCCCTGCCCGAGTCCATGCGAAACTTTTAAAACCAATTTTAGATCGTACAAAACAATCGAGCAAGTTGGTCTAAAGAGTCATTGTGTGACGGGCTGGTATTTTAACCACTGAGTCATTCAACACGGTCGAGTGGAGGCTATACTTCTTCCAAGCATTGTAAAATGACTCTTTTGAATACTAGTTTAAAGGTCTTACATTTCCTCTTTCAAAGCTATTTTCGATGTAATGTTTCTCTTCCTCTGATATGGTGGGATGGTTGGAAGGTGATTCATGAACAATCAGTTGCCAGGCAACAAACCACAATATACCAGCAGCACCTACAAAAAAAAGCAACAACAACATAGTTTTCTGTATTTATCTGTTTATTCATTCATTCAGTCGTTTATTTATTTTATGAACGACTGACTGACTGACCTAACGACCGACCCATCCATCCGTTTACCAACTGGCTGACTGATGCTAACGCTAACCGTGTCTAAGTGAATTACTAACAGTGACATACCGTCAGATGGATTGATGATGGGTTGACCTTTCATTTTCAAAGGTGTGGCAACTTTACTGTTATTCTCCAAGGCTTTGTGAAAGGCTTACATCCCGGCCCATGGGACTTAGGATTGATGTGTAATTTCAAAATGTAACTTGGGCAACACTCACTCACCAAAGCAGTAAAAAACTGAGGCCCAGCCTCCATCAAAGCCGTACTTTGTTAAAAGTCCTGACAATGGCATAGTTATGATAGTACCCACGTGACAGCCTTTCAGGAAAAAAAAACAACTTTTAATTAGTCAAGTACCAATTGAAGGTTTTCACATGACGTCACGGCAGCCATATTGGTGTGCAAAAACAATGAAGCGGCGGTCATGTTGGTGTACCAAAGTTGAACTGTTTTCTTATGTAAACACTTTCGTTTGTTCCACTAAATTTTCATGGCTGCTGGCCACGTGAGTTAAAACGCTCTATAGTATATCGAAGAACTCCTTCAAACTTGCTATGCTTTTAAAATATCGGTCAGATTTTCAACTCAGTTCTTGAAAGATCAATTTCATCTTGCTTCCTTGTTTATTGTTTACCATACTCCCCTTAGCTAATTATTTTCATACATAGAGGGGAAGGTATGGTGATGTTCAGGGTAAATATTTTCAACGGAGGACGATGGCTTTTTAATTTTAAAATGGGAAAAATTGTTCATCGTTTATAAAATGGCCATTTTTATAAATGCCATTTTTATAAATTTGCGTATCTAACTTCGCCCCTGTGCACTAACCTGAAATCGCCATGGTAACTAAAGTTGTTCGCTCCAGTGGAGGAGCCCATTTACTCCAAATAGCATGATTACAAGGAAACACAGCGCCCTGTAACATGAAGGTTATATTCCACATTAAGTAGCCGCTGATCACAGTACAACATACATAACATACCGGACGAACGATCACGTTTCACTCTGGTGCGTTTTATAGACGAAGGAAAAAGTGTAATATTTGGACCTATTATAAATTAATTGCACCAAAAATTCAAGCTTCCTACGCTGTACAACACGAGGTCTTTCATTTTTCGTTAGGTAAGCAATCACTGGAGGTCAGGTACAATTCACAGACTGAAACAAGAGCAAACAATTAACAAATAATCCACGAGCGCGCATTGGTTATGAAACGGTAGATAGCCAACGAAGCGCGTGGCTCCGTGATGACTATAATCATCTCACATCCAAGAAACGCGAGTGGAATAATTGTTTAGTTCAAAACGCCCCCAAAATATAGAAAACTAGACTAAAATAAAATAAAAACTTCCCAAAAATTCACGCGTACGCTTACCATAATAATTATTTGTGGTGCATGATATAATGGATCATAACCCATGATGGCTAAGCCAATGAAAACTCTCGAATTGCATTTTCTAATGATCCAGTTTCTAATAAATTCTAGTTATGCGACGCTTTCGCGTGGTATACCATGGAATATCCCACGAGCCACTTGTATATTTTATCGGTATACACACGAGCCTTTAGGTGAGTGTCTGTAACAAGAAAATACCAGCAACAATTGGGATATTCCGTGACATAATATGAGATAACTATACCATGCCATAGAAAATACGGTGGCCAACACACTCGATGTTGACATGCGCGGGGCGCATGATGGGAAGGTTGGAGATAACTCATACCGTCGAATGTACAACGGCTTTCCTGCATTCTGATTGGCTTTCTTATGGCATGGTATAAATGACCGTATTTCTCACCAGCATGAGCCCTTCTCCTGCTCTTACAGCAATCATTCCATACACACTGTATCGTGTGGCCACTGGAGTCAGAAGTGTCAACATGGAGGCTAAAAAGATGGCGTATCCAAATATTCTCGTGCCACCGAGCTTGAGAGCGAGGCAGCCACCAGGCAGCTGCAAGAAGGCATATCCATAATAGAACGAGCCCAGAACTATGCCTGTAAATTTACAGTTGTAAGTTAAGTTATGGCTGACTTTACAGTACGATCATTAGATGGGTTAAACGTTTTCCGCGCAAAGTCGCAACAGAGCTAGCTGAGAGGTATTAGAAATTCGCTAAAATATAAGTTACGAGATAACTAAATCGTTTGATAGAATGATTTTCAACTCAGTTTCAAAAGTAATCAGGCAATTACTTTCATTTTGGGTTTGGTTTTACCGCACTCAATTGAAAACTGTCCTATATTTAAATTGTAAATGATTGGTCCGTAGACAAAAACGTCGCGTGATTCCGAAGCTTGGTGTATAGAGCTCAGTTATTTTGGGTTAAGTTTTTAAGATTTAACAACTTGTCAGAATTGAACATCTTTTTTATGCTTTATAGTTTTCTAATGATGTTTAACTAAGCATTCTTTCAGTGCCATGGAAAGTGATTCGTGTGCGTTTGGCTTAGTTTTAAGTCTTTGCCGCAAAATCGCTCTCATTAGCCGCCTGTTCAATTTTGTAGATTGAAGAGTGCTACAGTTACCTTGCAGTTTTGAATCCCAGTCAAATTCTGCTTCCTTAAAGAAAAATAAAACAGCAAAGTTAGTCATTTTCTCTTGTTATCACTCAGTAAATCAGTCATATTGTAAAAGTGGATTAATTTGAATTAGCTACCTCACGGTTTCGTCAAAAGTTTAGCCAAAATTTGTCACGTTCATCGTTTGCAATCCGTGTTAATCTTCTCCATACCTGTTTCTTCAGTTCTGGTTTATTATTATCTCTTTGGTGTTTTTCTATCTTAGTAAACTACTATTTTCAGGTTTCCTTCAGTTTGTCAAAGGTTATTTTGTACAAAGCAAAAATAACTCAAAATGCCGTGACTGAGCTTCTTTAATCCTTCGAAAATGTCTGTTCCCACAATTAATAATGGCAATACCGTACATTTTATCTCTGTACACTTACTCATAGCGATGGCTACTTTCCAAATACTAAAAGCCGGTCAATTCAGGAAAGAAATTAACCTTCGTTTAGTGAATAGTTATTTAAAATCGTACTGACAAGCGGTGAAAATTGTAATCTACAAATGACACGACCATATTTTTTTAGTATATTTTGAATTTTGAATCACACTAATCAAAATTATCGCTTCGCATTTTTGGCACATGTCCCGTTACAACACGATCCTTCTTGTGAATTTTATGGAACGCTTACTTAACCCAAAGACTTAATGAACGAGCAAAATCACTTTTTCACCGAGCAATTAAAGCTCGCACCCGTCATGTAGTATTAGGGAGAGAACAACTTGAACGTCGGTTACATCGAACATTATATGTTTTTTTTTGCATACTGACAGAAGTCAGTTCCAGAGTGATTAGTGGGAGTGAGACCATTAGGTAATTTGCACTTAAAACAAGAGAATAAATCACATTTACATTAATTTTACTACCGCATTGTATCTTGCATCGTAAATAACACGCAAAAAAGAAACAAATATGAACTTTTGATCGAAGACCTGTTTTACGACCAAAAACAATGGGCAATGCAGCGCATAAATCTTTCATTATCTTAAGAAAATATAAAGTCAAGTCAGATTAAAAGTAAAGTGTACTCCTTTGAATTTTTCCTTTACGATGTAGGTCTAGGAAAAAGAAAATACAGTTCATGTCCAATAGATACTTTACCCGTGTGATCGTGTATCCTTTCTGTTGTACAGTGTGATTATTGACCATGGCGCCTATAGCGACGTTCAAATTAACACGCAAAGCGTACATGTTCATAAAACCAAGAAAAGTCATTATCGCCAGAATATAACGCTTTGGAAAGCTAAATTCTGCAGCAGAAATTCTACTCCTTTTAGAATTCGTCGTTTGGGAGTCTATGCTTTGTTCTCCATCAACCTTCCTTTTACACTTTCTTTGATGCGTCGGACATTCACAGAACTGGCAGCATACAAGAAATCTTGACATAAAGCGGAAGCAAGCGTAGAGAGTGTTTAAAAACCGGGTTAGCCCCGACTCCAAGTTTCCCGGGGACTTTGCCATGACTGGAACGTGGCTCTATGACATACTTTTTGTTCTTAAGATGTTAAAATGTTACTCGGTTGACTTGTTGATCGTGTCGGGGCAGCCATGATGGGTAGTTCAAGGTGGCATATTTATCACTTGCCTGCTGGTGTTTGAAGACTACAACCTGCGGATCTGATTTTCGTTGCCAAGCACCCAGTTTTTTGTAAACAAAGAGTTCTCTTTCAAATTTGGCTACCTTTCTCAGTTGCAACACACTTTCATGAAGTTTTCAAATGGCAACCGAAAAACCGACGTTAGAAGAATTTTCTTTTGTCTACCACAGGCAATTCAGGGGAGCGTCGTTTTTAGCCGATTTAAAAATTGTAAACCGTTTACTAACAAACATGGACAATTTTGAGCAAGAGAATATATATGAAATGTTATTATATATGAACTGCCGGCAAAAGATATTCTACATGACAAATAATCTATAGTTAAGAACCCAACTTAGGCAGTGGCTTAGGCAGAATCTGAGTCAAAGTGGTGTCCTTCTCCATCTATTTAATACGGTTCTTCAAGTTCCTCTTTCACTAGTTTTGTTCAAATTTGCGATATCGTTTTCCTGTAAAGTTTCTTCATTAGCCGATTACCGCATACGATAAGATTAAAATTACTTTTCAAAACCTTCAGTGGTTAAGTAAAATGAAAAAAAGAAAAAGACTGAAGAAGAAAATATTCAAAGAATGCGAAAATGTGAATTAGAAACGCATGCATGGATTCGATAAGATGGATAAAACTCAGTGCGCTACTGAAATAAATTGTGACACCCCCATTTAGTATTTAACAATTATTCCACGAGATGAGAAGCTAGATAGCCAATAAAGCGCGTAGCCATAACATGAATGAAGATGTACGCTGCAAACCAAGACTTGGTATTAGCTGGAGTATCGCCGCTATGTTGCGCGACGTCGTCGTCGACGTTGGGCGCACGCGCCCTCAATCCATGCCGCTAGCCGTGTTGACCATGAAAAAAGAGTTGCATGGGTTTCTGTTTCTATGTATGCATGTGGTTCTGTTAGTATAGTTATGGTGCTCCGCTTGGCAGAAAAAAAAAAAGACAGTCTACTGTAGCCAGGAACTTCATCTCTTGATATTACAGTCCAATCTCTTTCACGGGTTGAAAAGAGGATGAAGTGTGAACAACGGCCAAGTTAGTCTAATGTGGCCGCCATCTTAAAACGAAGTGTAAATTTTCTGGTCTAATCACTTTTATGTAGTAGCCGGGTAGTTTTTGTGTGGATTTCAATATATAAAATTGTAACGTAAAACTTCATATCTCGATGGTAGAATCCCATCTCTTTAACCCCTTGAATACCAACTACACATATATGCGTAATTAATGGTC